TCATTTTACATTTTATAAGTTAACGAAGACAAATTCAAGGACGTGAACAACTTACATTTTTAAAGAAAGGCTGCTCCAACGGCTTAGTTTCCGACATTTTCATGTTGATTTTTTTTTCCTTCATGTTGTTCATGCACACAGAACTGTGGGTAACCAAAGGCCTGGAAGGATACATTAGTTGCATCCTCGAAATCACTCAGAATGTAGGCTGCATTTCTAGGCTGTATATGAAGGGTACTTCACTTTGGAATGGCCTTCTATGACGCAGCAACCAAGAAATACAGCTTACCTCGGCTGCAGCCTAGGCTTTGGAGCGCCCCCCCCTAGTGGACACTGGGCCGTTCTTCAAGCAGAAAAGACAGAAATCTTCTTTATGTTTCGAATTCTCTATAGTGGTTTAATTATTTTGCTTATAGCTTGAAAAGTATTCTAATCGATGCACAGGCCTAAGTATGTAATGCGCAGGAGTGAATGTATTTTGCTTTCTGATTAACATCACCGCAACATTCCTGATAATGTTCTGGTTACGTGCAGAACCTCGGTTTTTAAACTTCAAATCAGATCAGAGCAATTGATTCATTTATTTTGACGCTTTCAGATAATTCAGAATGAGCTTCCCTAACTTAAGGCATCAATTCCTCCATCCTCCCATTTTATCCTTGTAACTCAGAGGAAGGAACTAAATTGTGAGGGAAATGAACCAAACTGCCTGTTTTAATAGACAGTGTTCGCCAAACACGGAAAAGGCGGTCACGTTGTTGATATTCTGTCATCATAATGTTTATAAGCAGTCAGTGCCGGCTGTGGCTTCCAAATCAAGATATCAAGAAAAAGTAAATTTGATTAGCGGTGTTGATCCACATCAAATTGATGCATTGTCCTTGAGTCCTGTTATTGCCTGCGATGACATATCCGGACTTCTATAATTAATGTCGACCATCAAATGCCGTTATGATCAGAAAAGTCAGTAATAGCTCCTTATCTGTTTGATGGGATTAATCAACATTAGCCTGACGTTAACTGTCAGGCTAATTAGCTGTTTATAAGCTACAGCAGTAAAGCTACTATAAAATGCTTCATATTTCAAAATCATAACATTCAATTTGCTGAGCTTTAGGTTGGAAACTACTCCATCTGTTTTACATAAGGGAGCGTGGGGAACAACCTAACCTAACGCAGGGCACAATTTAACACAAACTTTATGTTGTTATACGAGGTCAGGCAGCTTGTGCTTCTGGCCACATTACACATTTCCTAGCCACAGTATCCTGTGAAAATTCAGAGCAATTTGTCAGTGTCTTAAAGAGATCTGAGCCAGAGAGTGTTTTCAGGGTATGTAAGTAATATTTTTCTCAAACTCAAATTATTTTAGGTTACTGAGCTGTTTTTGTTAATCACAAAATCCGACCTTATTTTACTTTACTCACCATCTTGATGCTGAAAACATAGCACCATTTTGAAGCAGGTGACAAGCTTACAGCAAGTGCTAGCTGGGCTTAAGTAAAAGCCAAAATGTGTTAGGTCATGCCCTGCTTTCCCGTACATGATACAACTTCATCACTTTACTCTGATAGCTTGCCAGTTAGCATGCTAAAGGAGACACAGCTAACAACAACAAAAACAAAGGCACTACACCACGACTCTATCCAGACAAAGTAGTTATTCACAAGCTTTATGTGTTCAGTTCTGATTTCCCAAAAACATGTATTGCATTGCAAAGTTTGCATGGCTATCTTATTAGCTTGCTAGGGTAACCTGTAGAGGGTGAGTTCGTTCTACTTGAATAATCCTCTCCTCACTGTCCCCTCCTCCCTTTCTGCCACAAGTGGACACTTGTGAAACGAAAGTGTGATCCACATTCAAGTGGTGAGTTGAGGAGGATGAGGACATGTTAAAAAAAAGGAGCCAAGGAGGCACATATAAAAATATGAGAAGCACCCAGAGGAAACCCAGAGAGGTAAGGCAGGTTGAGGTTGGAGACAGGACACAGATGGAGGCAGAACGTGCTCATAGGTGTGGCAGATGGAAGGCAGGTTTGGCTTTCTCCAAATAAAGGCACGGCTGTGTGTAGGAAAAGCGATGAAACACAACTCAGTAGAGCTTATTTTACTTCCTTTGCTCAAGGCAGAGGTTTTGTTCTCCTTTTAGCAGGTCTTTGTTCACTGGCCTTTGATATAAATGGGTTCTGAGAGGGTTCATAAATGTCAGCTGTGTGGAGCTTATGGTAGATCTTTTGTTGAGACTGGATCACAGTGGTGATTCAATAGTGTGGTCATTTTATGTTTTGTGGTGTTTGTTTTTTACTCAGTTTTGACTTATGACTGGCATTTCTATTTGCTGCATTATAGCTTTTCGGCATGTATTGCATAGCATATGTGGGCTCTTTGACACAGCTGATAAATCCCCTAGACACATTAGCAGTGTTTGAATTGTAAAATAAATGTCAAGGTTATTTATTTATTTATTTGACTGGGATTTGGGACTGCATCTCCTGGCATCCTCAGATCAAGCCCTATGCAGTAAATGATTTAGCGGCTTGGTAACCAGTACACCTTTAATGTGAGGACTGATGTTGCTTTTATAGTCAGTTAGAGTGTCGAACGTTCAATGCTTTTTCAGTACTGCAATACTGCAAACATTTCAGTATTCCAAGTTTCAGTACTTGTAATAATTTTAATTCTTTTTAAAAATAAGCTAGCACCAGGTTGACATTATATTTTGCCTACATTCTCAACATAAAAGGTGCCAAAAAGGATTCTTTGTAGCAACATTTTTGTAAAAAAGAAGGTTTTGAATTATTCTTGTATGGATATCTCAAAGGAGACACTTGGAAATTCACAGTTAATGAAATTTTTTTTTACATTTCTAACAAATTTGGCTAAAGTTTTGACAGCGTTCATGTGTCACAGAAAGATTGTGTTAGGGGTATTTGTGAATTGTTGAGGGATTTTAAAATTGCAGAAAAGTAACAGGGGGAATGCAGTATTTGTAATTTTCTACATACAGTGTGACTTTGAAACTGAAGTGTCAGTGGGCTGTATTGTGGAAAAGCTCAGATTTGAGTAGTTTCATCAGGTGTTACTGTTAGTGGTGTTACTTCACTAATGTTCAATATAACAAACTACATTTTACACTTGAATTGCATATCAACATTCATATCTCGCTTACTGCCACGGTACGGTAGAATGACCAATATGTGTCTTGTGCTCCTCAGGTAAATTTGGGATCCAGCATTATGAGGCTATTAGTGTTGTAGTGAAGTCCACTAGCTTGAGTCAAGGCTGAGAGCTGGACACATCGAGTCCATGTCAAGACCGAGACCAGATTACATTTTTTTTGACAATATGAAAAAAGGGTGAAAATGAAATGTACAGTGTGGTTATTTTGTAAAATATTACATTAAATAATGTATGACCTGAGAGTATTATTATTTGCAATAATATCAGAATCTTAGTCAAACTTTGCATTATAACTTTTGGAGTCAAATGATATTGAGGTTCTTCTCTGTCCCTTCTACTCTAAAACTGATTCAGAATCAATACCTAAGGTCAACTGATTATAAACATCATACATTTATTTAAAAATAAAAAAATAATTCATTAAAACATTCTAATCTGCCCAGTTAAACTATCTTGAAATAGATCAATTCGATTCTCAACCAGCACCGAACAAAACAACTGACAGATGTCTTTTATATTTGATGTAAATCTGCTGCAAGCATTGCAGAACAAAATCCCTCAGTAACATGATGGATCCACACCCAGGTCTGTGGATTCCACTTGTTTATAGAAACAGCATGTTGAAAACAGAGGCGGGGAAGTGACATCCGCCCAACATTTCAAAATAATAATATACAGCTAAATTAGCAGGAGCAGTGCTGCTGGATTTTTTTAAACACTGTGTCCACTCACTGTCCACTTTATTAGACACATACTTTGTTGGTCCACCCTGTAGATGTAAAGTCTCATCTAAAGCTCATCTGTTGCAGTTTGTGTTGGTCATCCTCTAGTCCTTCATCAGTAGTCACAGGATGCTGCCCACAAAATGCTGTTGGCTGGATATTTTTGGTTGGTGGACTATTCTCAGTCCGGCAGTTACATTGAGATGTTTAAAAACTCCAGCAGCACTGCTGTGTCTGATCCACTCAGACCAGCGCAACACACACTAACACACCACCACCACAACAGTGTCACTGCAGTGCTGAGAATGATCCACCCCCAAACAGTACCTAACAAAGTATGCAGAGAAAGAGATGGACTACAACTTGTAATTGTAGAACTATATGGTAAGTGGTGTTGATAAACTGGACAATGAGTGTAGAATGGCCAAAATATGTTAATGTGAATTGCCATTAGCTTAGTGATACTACAAGAATCCTGTGGGGATGCTTTTTTTTTTTAATGAGTTTTGAAATGTGTTGTTTCTCATTATATTATATTATATGGTTTGCCATTGTGATGCAGCGATATGATATGATTCAATATGATACAGTATGATACTATGCATTGTATTGTTGCACAACAACAACGTTTTGGTCTAAATTGTGTAAATTAGATTTTTCTGTGAACTTTGAATATGGCTTATGATTACCTGACTGTATATAATGCAAACATATGGTTCAAAATGCAAACATGTGGCTCAGAATGCAAATATGGTTCAGACAAACAGCTCTTCACCAGCTAGAACAAGTTAAACTTCAGTTCAGTTAAATAGAAGATGTTTGGGTTGTCATAGCGCATAGAGCAGATGCTACAGGATAACGGAAAGCTTTTCCAAGTAATTCAGAAAGTAATTAATGAAAGTACAACTACATGATACAATAGAAACAGACTCCAGGGTAGTGAAATATGTGTGTCAGACAAGATGACAAAAGCATACCACAATAAATATCAGATACATACTGTAGTTGGACAAACTACAGCTAGTTACAATTTTCCTAAAGGAGCCACACATGACTTGTCTGAATATATGTCATAATTGGTTTTTATTTTTTTCCACAGAAATCAAGATGTTTCAGAATGAGACGTCTTCTATTTTGGACGGCTGTGGCAATCCTAGGTAACCTTTTTAAACATGCTATCTTAATTTACACAGGAATCGTTATAAGCAATGCCTTCTTTTTCTTCCCAATTTGTTCCCTTCAATGTGGTCGTAGACAGTTCCCACCATCTAGCTAGGTCTCCCCATCACATGACGTTGGAAGGGTGGAGGCTAAAAAGGCTGATTTATGCTTCAGCGTCTGTGTCTCTGTGAGTACAGTCTGTATGTAAGTGTGGTGCACAGACCTTCGCATAGGTGTCTGTCAGCACATCTGTGCTAGGGGTCATTGTGCTAGTCTTGCTTTTTTCCTCTTTTTTTCTAAGAATGAATACTCAGTTCACTTTTTTGGTAATGTTTTGATGATGGGGCCTATGACTGTATGAAACATCGCCCTTTTTTTAGCTATTAGTTCCTCAGACTGCTCTGTTTGATTTCTCACTAATTCTAGTTTGGGTTGAGTATTAAGCATTGGGTCTCGTCCTGCCCCCAACGCTACCCGGAAAACCAACCAGCGCCCGATTGACATGCAGCTCCGCAGATAAGCAGGGCTTATAGATTTTAGAGATGCACCAGAACCAGTTTAATGGGATCCTGCCCACTTTCTATTTCTCACATTATATCAAAAATCAGACACCAGAGGGCGCCCGTGAGTGAGTCCTCAATGAATGTGTGTAAATGGAGCTGAACAACTAAAAATTAAAAAATAAACACTTCTTGCCACTTATGTGGGAACTTACTTTAAGTTTGGAAAAAAATAGAAGAATATATTCTATTAAAAAAACCAAGAAAAAGTACCAGTATTTGTCCATTTTTCTTTAGTGAACAGGTCCTGGGCCTTTAAAAGCTAGCTTTACTGCTGCTGAATGCTGGTCATTGAGCTGATCACTTCATTGGCTGAGTAGTGATTTGTGCTCAGTGACCTCATGAATATACATAAGGCAATGTAAAAGACCTGTAACTACTTCAAGCACATGACAGCTGTATTGAAATATTTAATGTTGTTCTGTGTAAAGAAAGTGTTGAGTGCGTTTCTTTAAATAAAAAATGATTAACATTTACAGACTGTGATTTTCAACAATTTTTTAATAGGCTCCCCACATCCAATCAGTTGTCAAAACTTTTACAAACATTTCAGTCATTTTAGTTCTGTAATAGTACAAAAATTGGAACGGCCCATGATCTGATCGACAGGGCCTATCAAAGTAAGCATGTTTTAAAAATGTGTATGAGGAACTGTTACGCTTGCAGTTTTATTGCTATTCATTTGCATTTCTGATTGCATGGCATTATAGGTCCTATCTCATACAAGCACATCAAAAATATTAATACCCTGAAAACATTGATTGAACATTTTTTTTAGCTGGAAATGAAATCTGGCAACCCTGTACTCTTCACTGTAAATTCTCTGGTGTGCATGTTGTGATTTCTGAGAGCTGTGCTTACCCATGAACTCCATGTCTGCGTTGTGACACAGATACGTTTACATGCATCGTCTCAGAAGTATAAGTCAGCCATAACACCTGCTTCCACAGAGTCACATGAATCCAGCCACTGTATCTTTTTCAGACTGCCGCTAACATTGGACAGCTCAACATGCTAACTGCTAATTCTGTTACTTCAGCTAACATCGTGCTCAGTGATGGGGGAGAGGGAGTGCAGTTCTGCTGTCTTGGACTCTTGGCCACAGATCAAGGCCTTCACAAAAAGATCAGGGAAGGAACACTTGCCAAGATCAGTAGAGCTTTCAGGCTATCAGAGGATGTGATCTTGTTAGGGTTCATAAAGCCATCAAAGTGAAAATGAACCGAGACATGATTTTGTTTCTCAAATTCTTAAGCAAATCCATTAAAGGAATACTCCCACATTTTTCAACCTAATCTCTATTCACTGTATCTGTAGCACACATAAGTGTTTCTGTGTATTTAGAAAAGGGCAGAAAACTTGCTGACCTCAAACATGCTTAAAGTAGAAGCCAATGGCCAACAAAAAATAAAAAATATGTTTGAAACATAGAGGGGCCCATACCAACTTTAACTGATTTTCAGGATTATGCAAACTGTACAAGCAAACATTGTATTTCTACACAGAAAAATGGCTTCTGTCTCTGAGAATGGGGTTGAAATTCTGGTCACAGCTACCCACATCCACAGTAATGCAATACTGGATTTGTTCCCATTGGGTGTGGAGGGAGGCTTAATTTCTTCCATCCGTTAGATTGTATAGTTACAAGAGAAGAGTTCACATATTCCAGAAGCCTCTCCCAATGGTGGGTGATACTCATAATAATAGTAAAAGTACTAATCAGAATAAACTTTTTAAGTCAGCTTACATTTTACAGTAGAATCATCACTCTTACTGTGATAGCAGTGGCATTCCTGCTTGAACATGTACTTATAAATAATAAATTATACATTTTAAAATGTAAAAATTTTAAAAGAATGACATTTTCTGGCTGTTTTTAAATGAAGATGTTTTAATCTCACAACAGTTAGAAGAGTGCAGCATCCAGTTTCCGCGGCAGCTGTGGCAGCACCTGGTGGTAATGCCACCCTGGAGTGCTCTTTCTCTACCAGCAAAAGCCTCAATCTAACAAACCTCATCATTAACTGGCAGCACGGAGAGACGGTGGTCCACAGCTTTTATCTTGGCCAAGACCAGCTAGACAGGCAGGGACAGGCTTACAGAGGGCGGACACATCTGTTTAAGGACCAGTTACTGGAAGGAAATGCATCGCTGAGGTTAATCAGGATGCAGCCAGACGACGAGGGAGAGTACACCTGCTACGTCAACAACGAGCAGGATAGTACAACCAGAAGGCTAAAGGTCATATTGGCCGGTGAGTATGCTGAGCACCTCTGGTGAATATCAACTTGATGTCTTTTCTTTTGCCTCTTGTTCTGTACCAACAATCAAAATACAATTTTTTATTCTAGCACATGGGATTATCAGCACTCATCTGATAATCCCATGTCCTAGAATACAAATTTGAACGCTCCTCCTTGATTCCTGGTCTGACATGGAAATACAGCTCGTCGGTCTGCACAGGCATAAAATTAAAGCCCGAATTCGACCTGTAACGGCCTGACAGGTACTGCCAAATTAGAAGTCCGAACTGCAGCTGTGAAGCAGGCGCTACACTGTGTGTGATCATTTTGTTGTTATTTAATGTAATGACCAGTTTATAAGGTTTCACCAGTGAAGATGCCCTCGATTTGTTTGACTGTTGAATAGTTTCTTTTTAGTGATTTTCCTTTATATTGTCAAAGGCATATTTCTTTAGTTAAACACAAGCCTCCTACTCCTACTGCTGCTGCTACCACTTCTACATGCCTGCACTAAGCACTAGTGTAACACTAAGCCCATTTCCATATATACAAATAGATAAATTAACAAACGGTTAGCTGATGTACTGTAAATGTAGTGACTTGCTAGTAACAGTGACTACCACGAACAGCTGAAATGATGAAAAACTAGCCAGTTTGTGTACTGCTGATGATTTGATGCTAATGAAGGCCCATTTGGGGTTCTAATAAGTAAATTTATCCTAACCCTGGATTCTCTCTATCATTTTACAGGGGTACATCACTATAGCACTAATACGGTGCTTTTGACTATTATAAATGCTGTTCGTCATAAACATCATGTTTCATGAGCACACGCACGAGGATTAACCACAGCCTGAGTATGTAAACCTGAATTAACAGAGAAAGTCATTAAAACAACTCTAAGCTGAATCTGCTTTGTGAGAAAGATCCCTGATTGACTACTTTGTTGTCCAACTAACAGCCAAACAAGTCAAGTCAAGTCAAAGTTTATTTATATGGCTGCTTTTACAACAAGTATTGTCACAAAGCAGCTTTACAGAAAAATCCGGGTCCAAGCCCCCATGAGCATCGCCAATGGCGACAGTGGCAGGGAAAAACTCCCTAAGAGCAAGAGGAAGAAACCTTGAGAGGAACCAAGACTCAAAAGGGGAACCCATCCTCATCTGGTAGACACCGGATAGCAAACAGCATAATGACACACCAGTGATAAAAACCCAGAATATATTTTTATCTTTAGCTTTTTCCCTTGATGTTCTCTTTTTCTTTTCTGTTTTTCAGCTCCAGATGTGTATGTTCTTTTTTGCGAAATACCAGCCAGTTTCTCTCACTTGAGCATCTTAGACAACATCATGGTACAGTAATAACCCAAAAGTAGTATGGGGGCCCCCCTGGCGGCCTCAGAGCCCTGAGCAGCTTATTTTGTAGAGCTGGCACTGCTACTCGGTATAACGCAAACCTGAGCCTGTCACGCCTGATGCTATACATGAACAACTGGCCTAAAGCCTGATATTTTGACAGGCCCCGTCAGGCTCGGGTTGGGTAGCAGACCTCTCATACAGGTATTTGCAAATGCACTGTATCAAGTGCTGTTACCAAGGTGTGAAGTACAGGAGGGTCTGGGACCCCCTAATTAAACTTTTGGACCCACTGAATATCTCAAAGTCTAATTTCTCGTGGGTCTATGAAAATAAAACTTTTATGCAGTTATGCTGTCTGTTAGAAAAAATAGATGCTCATATGCAAATTCAGGGAGAGGTCACTGTTTAGCCGCTTCACCCACCATCGGTGAGCTGCTGTTTTTGGTTTTAACTAACTAGAGATGCAGTATTGATCTGCCTCAGGGTGGTGCTGTAGCAAACTGGTTTACCCAGTTGGTCCTTCATAGCCTAGAAACTTCTGTCTACGTCCAGGATAACTCTGAAAAACTTCCCAGGTGGAAAGAACGAATTGTTGCTCATTTCTCAAACCGAAGACAAATGAGATCTGTATAAGATGTGTAAGATCTCAGTTAATGTTTGGAAGACTACATTACCAAAATAGCACAGAGCCTTTCAAAAAGAAGAAATGTTAAACCAAGCATGCTGTTGCCATTGAAGCTTTCATCAGTGCCTGCAAGTCAGTTTGCAACCATTGCAGAACTCAACTCAACCAAGAAGTTTGAGTTGTGTGAACTCTTGTGTCCTAGTTAAATCAGCTAAAGAAAAGCCATGTAATTAGTTACTATATTATTTTGAGTTGAGCTGACCTCTCATTTTGAACAGTGTGTGCATGTATGTCTTTAATGTAAGAGACAAGATAACAGAGTATATAAGACATTATCACTGTCATTCCCTGCTCAGGCGAGCACTCTGTTGCTCCACTCTTGGGCATAACTTCTAGGGCCACATTCCATCTTTGAGATAAACTTCACTTGAGATAAAGTTCACTGACTTTTGGTTTAAACTCCAGCAGAAATTTCCTAACATGCATTGGAAAGTTTTCCCAGAAGAGCAGTTGGTGATTAAATATGATGAGAAGAACACATAATACCATAATGCCATCTTCATTTGCTGTTCATTGTACCTTGACGTTGTATTTGACTAAGGGAGCAGCGCAAACACTAGATTAAGTTTGATCAAGGAAACAATGAAAGGAGGCAAAAAAGGATTTTGGGAGCAGACTATGTGTAAAATCATGGGTTAAAAGTGATCATAATGTAACAGTAATCATAAAACTGTTTTGTATTTTAAAGTGGAATGAAACCTTTTTTAAAATTTCTACATGATTAAATTATTGAGATATAAACAAAGTCATTCAGAGTAATTTGATATGAAATGGTGCATTGAAAAACTTACCAGCTCTTTACAGTGGTGATGAAAGGAGGTTACAGTGTCTAATATGAGCAAATACTACTACGCAACAGACATCAGGCAATGTATTTGTGAATGTTCCATGTAATAACTCCCTGCGAGGGAGTTTTAAACTCTCATTAGAGTTTAATAGGCATGAAACTCTCCAGATGTCTATCACCATCACCGTGAAGACGTCTGACTAGAGAACAGAACTTTTCACTTCAGGCCTCTCTGAATGATGCCTTTGAATGAATTCTCCTTTAATCTCTTCTTTCTTTTTTTCAGCACTCTTTGATGAACCCCTCCTGTCGTTGCAGCCTACATGTGACAGCATCAATATCACCGCCACCTTGTCCAATGGTTTTCCTCAGCCTGAAATCAGATGGCTTGACTCCTCTGGTAGAGACATACTTCAGACATCCTCTGTTCAGCTGGACACCAGGGGGCGCTATTCGGTGTCTAGCACCATCAGCTTCAGGCTAAATGCCATAGAGACAATCACCATGGAAATGAAGTTAGAAGCTCTGAATCAGAGCTTCACTCATTCGCTGCTCTTACACCCCCCTCCAGACCATTGCCAAGGTCAGTTGGTGACCACATGAGATGAGTATAGGATCTGAAAGATATTGGTTTGTTAAGGTTGGCTAATATTAAGGTTTCACGGATCGGTATGGGTGAAAATACCAATGATAAAGCACCATTTTTTTGATTGATATTACAATGAGCACAGCTGCTTGTCTCTAGTAAAGCAATACATGATAAACTAGTAAACGTCAATACAAAGCACCAACATCGTTATCCCCTATAAATGGCCAGGAGCTGCCAGCAGGTCCAAACTTGTATTAAACACTTCTTTAACTTAAGAATAACTCAGACAGTTTGCATTGTTGTACATACGCACAAGACTTAAACCTGGGACTTTAAAGATTTAAAATAACAAAAAACTTGACAAAAATGCATCCTCTAATTGGCCCCAGATGGGAAAACAATAACATAACCATAGCAATATAAATAAAGAATAAATCACTGACAATGAACAAGGTTGGGATGTAACTGAATACAAGTATCAGGTATGCATATTCAGAATAAAGAAATTTCACAACTTTATTCAGTCCAAGTTTCATTTTGTAAAAGTAGTATTCAGAATAGTTACTTCTTATATTTTTAGGAGAATACTTTTAAAATACGTACCCACAAAATTACAAAAACACATTATCAAAAACTCCATAAATTATTAGCACATTTATTAACAATTTAGAATCAGTGCAGCGCATGTAGCGAACATGTGAATTCTAAAGAGAACCTTAATTAACAGCTTCTTTGCAAACACTAAATCTCTCACTAAAACCTGAGTAGACTGATAAATCAATATGATGATCAGTTATTAAACTCAGTGTTACTGAGCTCTGCTAAAGCCTGAGTAGACTGATAAATCAGTGTGATGATCCGTTATTAGTCTTACTGTTACTGAGCTCTTTTGATGGATGATGAAATTAGTAATCTCTTCAGTAGTGGACATGTTTGCGAGTGTTAAGCTTAGCATCAGTGTTGTACTGGACTCCTGCTCAGGGGATTATGGGAGTAGTAGTGGACTGAAGCAGGCAAAAATTGAGAATTTTCAGAACTTCATTTAAATTAAATAAGCCATTTTTTATGAAACATAATAATTTATGAAACAGAATAATTATCTGAAGGAAACCAGTAACAGCAAGGAACAGTTGCTGTTACTGGTTTAAGTAAAAAAAGGATGGAAGTGTTAGATTAACCAAAAGTATTAGGTTAACCAGCGATAACCGATGACAGATGTACATTGACCAGGGGATACTGATTATCATTAAGATTGACCAAAGATAACTGATTACATAAGTATTTAAAGTAACCATTAAATCAACCAATGATTAACAGTGATGACTGATGATTACTGTTAGAGACCTGGCAGAGTGACAGTAGTAATAGCTCTTTGTAAAGCCATGATAACTGTTAGAATTAAATCCATGAAAAGCCTCTCCTTTAACTACTCCCTTAACTGTTCAGTTATTCAGAAATAAACTGGCTTTACAGAATGCTCAGTGCAGATATACAGTACATGTTTAAGAATGTAGAGCAAATTAAAGCAAAAAAACAAACTTATAAACCATGTTTAAATGAATGAAACCAGGGAAATATTTCAGTCACTGTATTCCATCGATTTTTTGAACCTCCTGCATAAATCAGTAAGTAAAAAAAATTCTGAGTGCTTTGGTGTGAAATGACTGCAGAGAAACTCCCTGACCTGGATGTTTTTTAAACTTACGGTGGTGATAATAGGATGATAGCTATTTTATGTACTACCTAAAACCATCAGTAAACCTAGTCATTTATATGCAGTGTTGATGATGGTAAAATTGTGGGTTCTATTTTGCTATTTTGACTAATAGTGCCCTGCATATACCTCTCCACTGTGAAAGTATTTTAAAAATATAGTGTAGGCAAAAATAACTTTTTGTGAGGGAGCTTTTAGAGGCATGCAACTCTTCAGATGTCAAGACGTTCATTAAAAATCATGATGTATCTAAGCTGTCAAACAGGTTGGAAAAGGAAATTGAATGAAGAAATATGCAGCTGAGGAATATGAATGTTTTCTTTTCCAGAATGCTGTTCGACGCCCTTCACTTCACGGAATAGGACGGCCATGGCAACAGTGGTTACTCTCTTTGTTACTGTCTTAATTTTGATGTTCGCTGTAAAGAAATGGAAATCATCTCATGGCCAACGAGAGGGTCAAGCGACTACGTGACTAAGCTTTTCCCAGATCAAATGTAAACCAACACATGTTATGTATCATGGATGTAGTTAATCTCCTTATACTCTCTTTACTGTCTTATCGAGAGTAAAATCCTGTTGTTACAGCAGTATCGTTATCTCTGATCATGCCACCATATCTGTGGCACTTATTTTTCCAGACAAGCCCTTTACTTCAAAATTGTGGAGTCTCATTTCCCTCTTGCTTTCAGAAAGTTTTTTTACACAGCACCTTGCTGACAATACTCAAATATTTTTTAGCCTCAATAATACTCCATATGTCTCCCTCTCTACTGTTTGGGAAGCTTTAAAGGCAGTGATTTTAGGTCAGACTATTTCTTTTTTCTTTTTATTGTATTTTTTCCAGGGGAGACATTCAAAAGCATGCAATGACAACATAAAATTCCATGCACATGTTAATTTCCAATTATATATATCCTTTCATACACCTTGTGATCTATATCTCTCCATCTTTTTTATTCTTTAAAAAATCTTTTTTTCCCCCTTCTTTTTGACATTCTGTACAAATAAATAAATAACTATATACATTAAAACCTGAGGAGATGCTTTGGGGTAAAAAATAAAGGGGTTAGGTAAGAAGAAAAGGGAGGGGGGGGTAATAAAAATAATTTTAAAAAATAAATAAATAAAAAAAAATTAAAATAACAATCACGTTGTATCTCTACACACTGTGGTCTTACAGACTTTATATAATTAACCCATTTTAACCAGAATTTTACAAATTTTGTCTAACAGAAAAAGTAATTTTTTCCATTTGATATATTTCATTGACCAGGTTTATCCAGTCATCCAGTGTAGGAGGATCAGGAGACAGGCACTTCCTTGTTACGACTTTTTTACTTGCAATCAATATTCTTATAATCAATATTTCATAAATATTTGTCCGATCTTGCCACATCAAAACCCAGTACCCCTAGAAAAAGTGTATCAAATTTACAGGGAAATTTTAAACTAAATATATTTTTCAGTACTTTGTGCAACTCTGTCCAAAAATGTCTTAATATTGAGCATTCCCAAAATACATGCCAGTGACTGGCTTCCCGCTCCCCACACATCCTCCAACATCCCTGATTTTCCACAGGTTTTTGCTTTGGGGTAATAAAAAATCGAGTAACACACTTCCACCCTAATTCTCTCCAAACATGTGAATTAGTACATTTACACTGAAGTTCACATATCTTAACCCATATTTCACTTGAAATGGTAATACTGCTCTTTTTCCCATTTTTGCTTTACATACTCTGTCGAACTTCCTTCCTTTACTGTTAAGCCTTTACACATTTTGGATTCCTTTGTGAGCCTCAGACTGATAAGCTCTGATAAACAAATTTAGTATTTCATCATTAATACTGTTGAGTGTATCATCTTTGAACCTACTATTCAGCCTATTTGGTATGAACTCAGAGTCATCTAATTACTTTCAACATTTCACTTAAATTGTATTCTTTTATTACTTAAGTCCAGATTTTTAATTGGGTTTTTATAGAAAGATTCTCTATGATGTCTACTTTTTTAACTAAATCACTATTTCCTATTATTGCCTGAATAGGGGGGTTCTTTATCAATGACAATTCTATATCCATCCATCTTGCTTGGTAAGCAGGGTTGCATGCGAGAATTAAGGGTCTTGTCTGAGCTGCAAAGTAGTACTTTTTGAAATTTGGTAAACCCATGCCTCCTCTGTCCTTTGGAAGCTGCAAAATCCGAAATCTTATTCTTGGCTTCCGTCCCTGCCATATATACCTTGAAATGATTTTATCCCATTCTGAAAAAATGTTTGGAGGGATTTCGATGGGGAGTGCTTGAAATAGAAAAAGGAGACGTGGAAGCACATTCATTTTTATGGATTCAACCCTTGAGTTGAGGCTAAGAAAAGGAATCAAGCTCCATCTTTGAATATCAGTTTTAGTCTTAGCAATAAGGGGTCCAAAATTAGTCTCTGACAATTTAGAAAGGTCTTTGGGTAGATTAACTCCTAAATATTTTAATGAATTGTAATCCCACCTATAATGATATTTTTGTCTAAGATATTTTGGGGGATTATAATTAAATGTCAAAACTTGAGGTTTCTGAGCATTTAACTTGTATCCTGAGAATACACTGTAAAGTTCTATCACTTTCATTAACTCAGTGAATGAACCAGAGGGCTCACTCAAAAACAATAAGACATCGTCTGCATATAGCACCAGTTTGTGTTCATCACCCTTTATGGTAATACCCTTTATCAAGGTGTCTTGTCGTATCCATTGGGCCAAAGGCTTTATGTACAAAGCAAAAAGAGAGGAAGACAGAGGGCAACCTTGTCTTGTTCCATGTTCCAAAATAATAGTATCGGACAAATTAACATTTATTTTGATTCGCGTGGTTGGTCTATTATACAGTGCTTGGATACTTTGGATAACTTCTTCATGAAACCCAAACCTATTTAAGACTCTACATAGATACTTCCAGCTCACTGAGTCGAAAGCTTTTTCTGCATCTAGACTTATCAGAGAGGCTTCCAGATTGTGCCGTTTTATATAATTAACAATATGCAAGGTACATCTTATATTATCATGTGTTTGTCTATGTTGAATAAACCCTGTTTGGTCATAAATTATTATCTGGGGGAAAATCTTTTGGCTCGTAGTCGTTTAGTCGTTTGGCTACAACACTTGCATATAATTTATAGTCTACGTTAAGAACTGAAATTGATCGATATGATCCACATTCGAGTACATCTTTTCCTTCCTTAGGGATAACAGTAATAATTGCTTCACTCCATGATTGGGGGAATTTTCCCTTGAATTAATGCATAATTGCAAGCTGAAAGAAGATTTGGTAATAACTCTGCCCGAAAAACTCTATACCATTCAGCTGTAAATCCATCTGTACCAGGAGATTTATTTGACCTAAGGTGTGAAATAGCTGCACTTAACTCCTCTGCTGTTATCTTAGCTTTTAAATCTCTGTTTTGTTCTTCTGTTAGAGTAGGTAGTTGGCAAGAGTTAAGGAATGCATCAATCTGTTCCCCATCTTTGGAATGTGGTTGTGTATATAGATTTTCATATTTTTTATAGGCAGTTTGAATTTCATCCTATTTGTGTAGCACATTTTTCGATTTGGGGTCTCTTATTTTATATATGGTGTTGTCTGCCCGGTGTTTCTGTAGTTTGCCAAACGTTTTGCTGATTTTGGTCCTGATTCATAATATTTTGTCTAGTAAATACTACCTTTTTTCTATTACTTGAGTGTATAATATATTTATTTCATTCCTAATTTTAAGAATTTCTGACATGATATTTGGGTCTTGTTTTTCTTTATGTTTAATCTCTAAATCTTTTAACATTCAATTCTACTAGTTTCAATTGCTGTATCTTCTTTTTAAGAGCGCAGTAACTAATAATTTTGCCTCTAATAATTGCTTTTAAAGCATCCCATAAGATCTCAGGTTCAACTTCACCATTATCATTTTCTTCTAGAAATACTTTTATTTCTTGTTTAATTTGCTCTTTGAACTGGGGACTGTTGAGAATACTTACATTTATTCTCCATGTTTTATTTCTAGGGCTGTTATTAAGCAGTATAGACAATGAAATCGGTGCATGATCAGAGAGGTCAAGAGAGAGGTTACCTATATCACATTGTAGTATTTTGTTTCTGTCTCTTTTATAAATAAAAAAGTGTGGGAATGAATAATGAGTGTAGTCATGCCCAGTTGGATAACAGTCCCTCCAAAGATCCACTATTCCCATTTCCTCCATTAACATTTTTATTTTTTGTGCAGTAGTGTTATTCTTTGGGATGTGTTTGTGAAATCTAATTTCGGATTGAGATGAATATTCCAGTTTCCTCCACATACCAAAATACCTGATGCATCAGCCATTAGTCCAAACATTTTCTGGTAAAACTTAAGGTTGCTACCCGGGGGTACCATATACATACAATAATGTTAATTCAACACCCTCTATTCTTCCAGAAAGTAAAATGAACCTCCCTTCTTTGTCTTTAATTTCCATAAATTGTTCAAAGGGGATACAGTGAGATATTAATATAGCCACACCCCTCCTGTGACCAGATTTATATGAGGAAAAAGAGATTTTTGAAAATCCCATTCGTTTTATTTTCTCATGTTCAGAAGCACTCAAGTGGGTTTCCTGCAAAAAAAAACAAAAAAACAATTGATGCTCCTTTCTTCGTTTTGGTCAAAGTTTTGCTCCTCTTAGTAGGGTTGAGTACTCCATTAACATTAAAAGAAATAACTTTCAATTCTGTGTTAGCCATTAAGTCTCCTCTATAATATCGTAAACACCCCTTCTCTGAAACACAGTTTGCCAAAATAAACCATTAGGCATCTCCCCTTTAGCTTTCATGAACAATAAAGCAATATAACCTAACAACATTGATGAGAACATCATTAATCACACAAGCTCTGTCAACACAATGGCTTCCAATGTTGAGGTTCGTTTTAAAAGAACCTTCTGAGGTGTAGGACAACCCTCGTAAGGGGAAAACCCCTCGTCGTTAGAGAGAGGACCCTTGAGGAGAACAGTACAACTTTACCGTTCAACTGTCCGGTTTTACCGCAAAAAGAGAAAATCCCGACATTTCTAATGTCAAGTGAAAAAAAACAACACAGAGGAGTATATCTCGAAATGTTTACGTATATAAGAAAACAGCAGCGACTAACAAACTCAGTCACTCATGCACTGGTGACCTCCGTCTGAAGCTCTCCAGTTTCTCTTTGTATTGGGGAAGTGTGTCCTCCTCCGATTGGTTGTGTAGTCTGCCTTTCCCTCGCCCACTCCGTTTCTCAATGACTTGCCAGAAAGACAGGCTTTCAATATCATCCTTCAGTGCAGGGGGTGATTCCACCAGCTTTACTTGAAATCCTCGCTTGATCATATCCTTTGTGGCCTCCGCTGCACTTTGGTATAGCCGAGACCCATCCTCGTAGAAGACTCGCAGTTCAGCTGGGAAGGGCCGTTTGAAACGTTGAATGTCCGTGGACGTTCAAAATGTGTTTAAAAGTAGTCGGTCAGTCGGGGACATGTAATGAGCGTCAACAGACGTCCAAAATCAGTTTCAAAAAGTCAGTTCATTGGTGACCTGTTAATAACGTCAATAGACGTTTCACTATAGCGCAATAATAATGATAACGATCGTGATAATAACCGTACCAGTACCACTGCTTCTAGCCTACTGCTACTACTACAACTACAACTACTACTTATAATAATAATAATTATTATAATAATAATAATAAGAAGAAGAAGAAACAAAAAGAAAGCTGTATTCCAGTCCAGAGGTGTTATGTTTCTTTTCTCAAAGATACCAAACGTTAAATATAGATAGTTTTGGCTTACTGTTATGTTAGATGTTGATTGCTGAAGCTTGATAATATTTCACTTGTCTTTATGGTGCAAAGATCATGCCATATGACATAACATGGAGTGTGGTTGTCATTATTTCACATGGTGCCATCAGCTTTTCTATATTTTCTGGACTTTTTTCAAATTTAAATGCAAGGGCTAAATGGTGTATTTACAATTGCATATCTCATAGCAGTGTGCATCATTTAAGACACAATTCGAATTTGAATGCAACTTTATTTGCGTTTTAATTTCAGTGTATAATAACTGGAAACGTTTAATACAGAAAAGCAGCGTTTCATTATCTTAATATGGTCTGACTCTGACATAAAAAAACACCCATTTTATTGTATTTCGTCATCATGACGCTCCGGCTCTGCCAAAATGAAACTGTATTTGCAATCCTGTTTGCAACTGCATTTCCACTGTCAGCAAGGCAGTCCTGTCATTTAAGCGCTGTGGGTTTGGGGGATGTATCAAACGGGTTAAAAGAAGACGCGATATCAATTTGAACAGACACCAGTCACTGCCCCTTTGGATATGGGAGGCAAATCCAGCCAAAAAAGAAATTAAAATTAAAACAATAAAATGTAAATGCAAACCTCTTTTTGCCATTTCTTTTTCCAAACATCTGCGCAAATATCCTGCCAAAATTGAAAATGAAATGAAATATTTTCATTTGCAATTTCATTTTTCACATGAGCACGGGCCATTTGTGACAAAAATAAAAATAAATGTAAAACAGCTATTTGTCATTTCATTTTAGTCCTTATTCTGTTTTTTCATGGCCATATCTAAAATGAGAAAGCTAATAGAGAAAAGAAAATCCAAGCTTCACTTTGGCTTTGGCTTTTCTTCATGAAATGCAGAATACTAGTCAAAACTGAAATCAAAATGCAGTGTTCACGTTCTTATTTCTTTTTCACAGCAATCGGCTGCATATCTGACAAAATGAAAATGAAAATGCAAAACTGATAAATCAACAGCAAAGGTGTCAGAATGAAAAGGCAAACGAACATCAGCGCCATCTGCTGGAGATTTACTTTACATTTCCGACTTTTCGTTTTCGTTTTCAAACTGACCAACATGCAAATATATGTTAATTAGCACTAGGTGGGGCTACGGGGTACATTTTAGGACATCCTCAGACCTCCGAGTCAGAACGGCATCATTCCTCAAGCTAAACGACGTCTCTAGAAAAACCATCGTGATGACTCAGATCTGGTGAAACTGAACGTCAGACCAAACACCGTCAGAAAAAACTGGAAATGTTATACTGATATTTATATCGAGATACATAATAGTTTGTTAAGTTACACGAACCACTACATGCTCGACCAGTCTGCGTTTGGTCTGATACCTTTTCTCTGAGGCCGTTTGGTCTGACGGTGTTTGACTAATTCTGCATTTCACGAAGAAAAGCCAAAGTGAAGCTTGGATTTTTCTCTATTAGCTTTCCCATTTTAGATATGGCCATGAAATACCAGAATAAGGACTAAAATGAAATGACAAATAGCTGTTTTAAATTTTTATTTTTGTCACAAATGGCCCGTGCTCATGTGAAAAATGAAATTACAAATGTAGGTATTTTATTTCATTTTCAGTTTTGGCAGGATATTTGCACAGATGTTTGGAAAAAGAAATGGCAAAAAGAGGTTTGCATTTACATTTTATTGTTTTAATTTTAATTTCTTTTTTGGCTGGATTTCCATATTTGGAAGGTTCTCGTTTGAGAAAGTCTTCAGCGAGCCGCCCACAGCACACAGCGCTCCTGTCCACATTGATCCAGGTGAGTAAACGTTAGTTGGCCGTTTTAGGTAGGTTAGACCTTTTGCCATATACGAGTCACTAAGCTTACAACAAATCTTAAATTTTAGTATTATCGTTTGTTTATGAACAGAGAGTATATGTTAGCTAGCTAGCTAGCTAGGTAGTATTTTATACAGCTGCTGAAGCCGTCTTGCTCTAAGGCTAACGTTACAGTCGTGCTAACTACGTGAAACATAGCGGTCGGTGCTGCACGTCATTAACTTAGATTTAAAGATTTGTCTGTATTGCTGAATATAGCAAATTAAAACCTTATTAACGAAGGTAATGGTCATTTTATTTTCCTCAGTTCAGTGTGATTGATGGTGAAGGTCCTGATTAAAGCGAAGCTCGCTAGCTAATGCTGATGGTTCATCATGACAACACACGTTTTCTGACATTAGCTATTCCTGGATTTTTGCGCGGGCTCATTTGTAAAAGTTAGCTGTTAGCTATGTTGAGCTACATTAGCTATATTTATCTAAGCTTGTAGTCACATACATGAATAGCTCGAGGCTCATTTTAAAACTGCCAGGAGCATATTTTTACTTTGAAACGAAGTACCACAATTAATGATTATTTTACAATATTTGAAAGTAGTTAACCTAGCTTATGCAGCTAGGTCATTTGAGTAGCTAACGCTAGCTAGCTAGCTTATTTTTTTATACAGCTGCAGAAGCTACAGCTGTGTTTCTAGATGTTGGTAGGCAGGGGAAAATGTGGCAGTCATTCTAATACTTTGTTCTTTAGCTTTGGTTACAAAAGTTGAAATCATTAGTGAGTTTTTATTAGACAATGAAATGTTCTATTAGATAAGTTACTAAATTAACTGTAGCTGTATCTTCTTTTGCAAACAAATATTTGTTCCAGAACCTGACTGGATTTGTCTGTGTGCCACAACAACATACTGGCAGTAGTCAAATAATGCACACAAGTTAAAAAAGTAAGTATTATCGCAAACAGAATAGAACGTAATGTGTTGACAATTTATGTACAGTTTTCCTGGTTATCAGTTGCCATACTCATTTGATGACTAAGAACCTATCTAAAGGAATGGTTCAGCAAAATATAAAATTTAAACAATTTTCTGCTTACCCCCCATTGTATTCTTGTTGCCAAGACATAATTGGTATCCAAATTTTGTGTCTTTAGCAATGGAGCTGTGAAGCTAACATTTCTAACAAACACTAGAAGTTAATATTCACCTAAATCATTTCTGTAAATACTTCCTGAAAACATCTTTCAACCCTTTCAAACCACATCTATGTCTTCATTAAGGTGGCACAGACTTCTCAGTGTGTCATTTCAGTCAAATTTGATATTGGAATTTGTAAGGCATTTAGAAAAAGGCAAATAATAATACTGAGCTTTTCTGTGATGTTTCCTATGTTATATAGCTGCACTCTGTACTATTTACTACCCAGTTCCTTTTTTGGACTGTGCTTTATTCCTTTAACAAATAAACACTGACCAAAATAAGAGAGAGGCCTTTTAGTTCCTAGCAGTCTAGTATAGAGTTTAGAAATCTCATGGGTCTTAGGAGAATATATAAAATTATTCTGCTTTGGCTAGTTTGTCGCATCGTTGTTTCAGTATTCTGGGTCGAATACACAATACTCCTGCTTCTGGTGACAACCCCCTTATTCATAGTTCAAAGGTCACTCTTTCCATGTTGATATTCGATGTCTTTAGGGTTTTATTTTCAAATTGTCAGGGAGCCCTCGAGTTACACGACTGTTCTCAAGCCCACAGTGAACCGGAAGCCGGACCATTTCTTATTTTTCTTTTCAAAATAGACAGCATAAAGAAAAACTACTAAAGTTGACCAATGCGATTGTACAGCTGGACACGCTCTGTGCCCTCTCCCCAGACCCAGATACTTTTAAGAAAAGAACAGCTCCGCAATCTGAATTGAATTTAATTTGGGTCACATTGTCCTAGTCTTGCGTTTTCCTCTTTTTTTCTAAGAATGAATACTCAGTTCACTTTTTTGGTAATGTTTTAAAGGTGGGGCGTATGACCATATGAAACTTCACCTTTTTTTTGCTATTAGTTCCTCAAACTGCTCTGCTCCGCCATTTCTCATTAATTCTAGTTTAGGTTGAGTATTAAGTATTGGGTCTCGTCCTGCCCCCAACGCTACCCGGACAACCAACTAGCATTCGACTGACATGCAGCTCCGCAGATAAGCAGGGCTTATAGATTTAATAGGATCCTGTTTAATAGGATCCTGCCCATTTTCTATTTTCTCACATGCTTATTACTGATAACATGTTGGTTAAATGATGTGTTATTTTGTATTATGGTTAAAATTACCTTACACTGTACATTTTTTGGTGATTTTTTTTTTGTGTGTTTCGGTGGGTTTTGAAAATTTTTTTTAGCTGGAAATGAAATCTGGCAACCCTGCAGTCTTCACTATAAATTTTCAGATGTACATGATGTGATCTCTGAGAAGTATGCTTACCCATGAACTGCGTCTCTACGTTGCAACACAGGTACGTTTACATGCATCATCTCAGAAGTATAAGTCAGCCTTAACACCTGCTTCCACAGAGTCACATGAATCCAGCCACCCTATCTTTTTCAGACTGCCGCTAACATTGGACAGCTCAACATGCTAACTGCTAATTCTGTTACTTCAGCTAACATCGTGCTCGGTGATGAGGGAGAGGGAGTGCAGTTATGCTGTCTTGGACTCTTGGCCACAGATCAAGGCCTTCACAAAAAGATCAGGGAAGGAACACTTGCCAAGATCAGTAGAGATTTCAGGCTATCAGAGGATGTGATCTTGTTAGGGTTCATAAAGCTAACAAAGTGAAAATGAACCGAGACTTGATTTTGTTTCTGAAATTCTTAAGCAAATCCATTAAAGGAATACTCCCACATTTTTCAACCTAATCTCTATTCACTGTATCTGTAGCACACATAAGCGTTTCTATGTATTTAGAAAAGGGCAGAAAACTTGCTGACCTCAAACATGCTTAAAGTAGAAGCCAATGGCCAACAAAAAATAAAAAATATGTTTGCAAGGCCATAGAGGGGCCCATACCAACTTTAACTGATTTTCAGGATTATGCAAACTGTACAAGCAATCATTGTATTTCTACACAGAAAAATGGCTTCTGTCTCTGAGAATGGGGTTGAAATTCTGGTCACAGCTACCCACATCCACAGTAATGCAATACTGGATTTGTTCCCATTGGGTGTGGAGGGAGGCTTAATTTCTTCCATCCGTTAGATTGTATAGTTACAAGAGAAGAGTTCACATATTCCAGAAGCCTCTCCCAATGGTGGGTGATACTCATAATAATAGTAAAAGTACTAATCAGAATAAACTTTTTAAGTCAGCTTACATTTTACAGTAGAATCATCACTCTTACTGTGCTAGCAGTGGCATTCCTGCTTGAACATGTACTTATAAATAATAAATTATACATTTTAAAATGTACAAATTTTAAAAGAATGACATTTTCTGGCTGTTTTTAAATGAAGATGTTTTAATCTCACAACAGTTAGAAGAGTGCAGCATCCAGTTTCCCCGGCAGCTGTGGCAGCACCTGGTGGTAATGCCACCCTGGAGTGCTCTTTCTCTACCAGCAAAAGCCTCAATCTAACAAACCTCATCATTAACTGGCAGCACGGGGAGACGGTGGTCCACAGCTTTTATCTTGGCCAAGACCAGCTAGACAGGCAGGGACAGGCTTACAGAGGGCGGACACATCTGTTTAAGGACCAGTTACTGGAAGGAAATGCATCGCTGAGGTTAATCAGGATGCAGCCAGACGACGAGGGAGAGTACACCTGCTACGTCAACAATGAGCAGAATAGTACAACCAGAAGGCTAAAGGTCATATTGGCCGGTGAGTATGCTGAGCACCTCTGGTGAATATCAACTTGATGTCTTTTCTTTTGCCTCTTGTTCTGTACCAACAATCAAAATACAAATTTTTATTCTAGCACATGGGATTATCAGCACTCATCTGATAATCCCATGTCCTAGAATACAAATTTGAACGCTCCTCCTTGATTCCTGGTCTGACATGGAAAGACAGCTCGTTGGTCTGCACAGGCATAAAATTAAAGGCCGAATTCGACCTGTAACAGCGACTTTGAGACTCAGGCCTGACAGGTACTGCCAAATTAGGAGTCCGAACTGCAGCTGTGAAGCAGGCGCTACACTGTGTGTGATCATTTTGTTGTTATTTAATGTAATGACCAGTTTATAAGGTTTCACCAGTGAAGATGCCCTTGATTTGTTCGACTGTTGAATAGTTTCTTTTTAGTGATTTTCCTTTATTTTGTCAAAGGCATATTTCTTTAGTTAAACACAAGCCTCCTACTCCTACTGCTGCTGCTACCACTTCTACATGCCCGCACTAAGCACTAGTGTAACACTAAGCCCATTTCCATATATACAAATAGATAAATTAACAAACGGTTAGCTGATGTACTGTAAATGTAGTGACTTGTTAGTAACAGTGACTACCACGAACAGCTAATATTATGAAAAACTAGCCAGTTTGTGTACTGCTGATGATTTGATGCTAATGAATGCCCATTTGGGGTTCTACTAAGTAAATTCATTCTAACCCTGGATTCTCTCTATGATTTTACAGGGGTACATCACTATAGCACTAATACGGTGCTTCTGACCATTATAAATGGTGTACGTCATAAACATCATGTTTCATGAGCACACGCACGAGGATTAACCACAGCCTGAGTATGTAAACCTGAATTAATAGAGAAAGTCATTAAAACAACTCTAAACTGAATCTGCTTTGTGAGAAAGATCCCTGATTGACTACTTTGTTGTCCAACTAACAGCCAAACAAGTCAAGTCAAGTCAAAGTTTATTTATATGGCTCCTTTTACAACAAGTGTTGTCACAAAGCAGCTTTACAGAAAAATCCGGGTCCAAGCCCCCATGAGCGTCACCAATGGCGACAGTGGCAAGGAAAAACTTCCTAAGAGCAAAAGGAAGAAACCTTGAGAGGAACCAAGACTCAAAAGGGGAACCCATCCTCATCTGGTAGACACCGGATAGCAAACAGCATAATGACACACCAGTGATAAAAACCCAGAATATATTTTTATCTTTAGCTTTTTCCCTTGATGTTCTCTTTTTCTTTTCTGTTTTTCAGCTCCAGATGTGTATGTTCTTTTTTGAGAAATACCAGCCAGTTTCTCTCACTTGAGCATCTTAGACAACATCATGGTACAGTAATAACTCAAAAGTAGTATGGGGGCCCCCCTGGCGGCCTCAGAGCCCTGAGCAGCTTATTTTGTAGAGCTGGCACTGCTACTCGGTATAACGCACACCTGAGCCTGTCACGCCTGATGCTATACATGAACAACTGGCCTAAAGCCTGATATTTTGACAGGCCCCGTCAGGCTCGGGTTGGGTAGCAGACCTCTCATACAGGTATTTGCAAATGCACTGTATCAAGTGCTGTTACCAAGGTGTGAAGTACAGGAGGGTCTGGGACCCCCTAATTAAACTTTTGGACCCCCTGAATATCTCAAAGTCTAATTTCTCGTGGGTCTATGAAAATAAAACTTTTATGCAGTTATGCTGTCTGTTAGAAAAAATAGATGCTCATATACAAATTCAGGGAGAGGTCACTGTTTAGCCGCTTCACCCACCATCGGTGAGCTGCTGTTTTTGGTTTTAACTAACTAGAGATGCAGTAATGATCTGCCTCAGGGTGGTGCTGTAGCAAACTGGTTTACCCAGTTGGTCCTTCATAGCCTAGACACTTCTATCTACGTCCAGGATAACTCTGAAAAACTTCCCAGGTGGAAAGAACGAATTGTTGCTCATTTCTCAAACCGAAGACAAATGAGATCTGTATAAGATGTGTAAGATCTCAGTTAATGTTTGGAAGACTACATTACCAAAATAGCACAGAGCCTTTCAAAAAGAAGAAATGTTAAACCAAGCATGCTGTTGCCATTGAAGCTTTCATCAGTGCCTGCAAGTCAGTTTGCAACCATTGCAGAACTCAACTCAACCAAGAAGTTTGAGTTGTGTGAACTCTTGTGTCCTAGTTAAATCAGCTAAAGAAAAGCCATGTAATTAGTTACTATATTATTTTGAGTTGAGCTGACCTCTCATTTTGAACAGTGTGTGCATGTATGTCTTTAATGTAAGAGACAAGATAACAGAGTATATAAGACATTATCACTGTCATTCCCTGCTCAGGCGAGCACTCTGTTGCTCCACTCTTGGGCATAACTTCTAGGGCCACATTCCATCTTTGAGATAAACTTCACTTGAGATAAAGTTCACTGACTTTTGGTTTAAACTCCAGCAGAAATTTCCTAACATGTATTGGAAAGTTTTCCCAGAAGAGCAGTTGGTGATTAAATATGATGAGAAGAACACATAATACCATAATGCCATCTTCATTTGCTGTTCATTGTACCTTGACGTTGTATTTGACTAAGGGAGCAGCGCAAACACTAGATTAAGTTTGATCAAGGAAACAATGAAAGGAGGCAAAAAAGGATTTTGGGAGCAGACTATGTCTAAAATCATGGGTTAAAAGTGATCATAATGTAACAGTAATCATAAAACTGTTTTGTATTTTAAAGTGGAATGAAACCTTTTTTAAAATTTCTACATGATTAAATTATTGAGATATAAACAAAGTCATTCAGAGTAATTTGATATGAAATGGTGCATTGAAAAACTTACCAGCTCTTTACAGTGGTGATGAAAGGAACCAGAGGTTACAGTGTCTAATATGAGCAAATACTACTACGCAACAGACATCAGGCAATGTATTTGTGAATGTTCCATGTAATAACTCCCTGCGAGGGAGTTTTAAACTCTCATTAGAGTTTAATAGGCATGAAACTCTCCAGATGTCTATCACCATCACCGTGAAGACGTCTGACTAGAGAACAGAACTTTTCACTTCAGGCCTCTCTGAATGATGCCTTTGAATGAATTCTCCTTTAATCTCTTCTTTCTTTTTTTCAGCACTCTTTGATGAACCCCTCCTGTCTTTGCAGCCTACATGTGACAGCATCAATATCACCGCCACCTTGTCCAATGGTTTTCCTCAGCCTGAAATCAGATGGCTTGACTCCTCTGGTAGAGACATTCTTCAGTCATCCTCTGTTCAGCTGGACACCAGGGGGCGCTATTCGGTGTCTAGCACCATCAGCTTCAGGCTAAATGCCATAGAGACAATCACCATGGAAATGAAGTTAGAAGCTCTGAATCAGAGCTTCACTCGTTCGCTGCTCTTACACCCCCCTCCAGACCATTGCCAAGGTCAGTTGGTGACCACATGAGATGAGTATAGGATCTGAAAGATATTGGTTTGTTAAGGTTGGCTAATATTAAGGTTTCACGGATCGGTATGGGTGAAAATACCAATGATAAAGCACCATTTTTTTGATTGATATTACAATGAGCAAAGCTGCTTGTCTCTAGTAAAGCAATACATGACAAACTAGTAAACGTCAATACAAAGCACCAACATCGTTATCCCCTATAAATGGCCAGGAGCTGCCAGCAGGTCCAAACTTGTATTAAACACTTCTTTAACTTAAGAATAACTCAGACAGTTTGCATTGTTGTACATACGCACAAGACTTAAACCTGGGACTTTAAAGATTTAAAATAACAAAAAACTTGACAAAAATGCATCCTCTAATTGGCCCCAGATGGGAAAACAATAACATAACCATAGCAATATAAATAAAGAATAAATCACTGACAATGAACAAGGTTGGGATGTAACAGAATACAAGTATCAGGTATGCATATTCAGAATAAAGAAATTTCACAACTTTATTCAGTCCAAGTTTCATTTTGTAAAGGTAGTATTCAGAATAGTTACTTCTTATATTTTTAGGAGAATACTTTTAAAATACGTACCCACAAAATTACAAAAACACATTATCAAAAACTCCATAAATTATTAGCACATTTATTAACAATTTAGAATCAGTGCAGCGCATGTAGCGAACATGTGAATTCTAAAGAGAACCTTAATTAACAGCTTCTTTGCAAACACTAAATCTCTCACTAAAACCTGAGTAGACTGATAAATCAATATGATGATCAGTTATTAAACTCAGTGCTACTGAGCTCTGCTAAAGCCTGAGTAGACTGATAAATCAGTGTGATGATCCGTTATTTGTCTTAGTGTTACTGAGCTCTTTTGATGGATGATGAAATTAGTAATCTCTTCAGTAGTGGACATGTTTGCGAGTGTTAAGCTTAGCATCAGTGTTGTACTGGACTCCTGCTCAGGGGATTATGGGAGTAGTAGTGGACTGAAGCAGGCAAAAATTGAGAATTTTCAGAACTTCATTTAAATTAAATAAGCCATTTTTTATGAAACATATTAACAGAATAATTATCTGAAGGAAACCAGTAACAGCAAGGAACAGTTGCTGTTACTGGTTTAAGTAGGATGGAAGTGTTAGATTAACCAAAAGTATTAGGTTAACCAGTGATAACCGATGACAGATGTACATTGACCAGTGGGATACTGATTATCATTAAGATTGACCAAAGATAACTGATTACATGAGTATTTAAAGTAACCATCAAATCAACCAATAATTAACAGTGATGACTGATGATTACTGTTAGAGACCTGGCAGAGTGACAGTGAGTAAT